CACACCCCACCCCACCAGAGACATGCCAGAGGGAGGCTGAGGCTGCACAGAGAGAGGCTAAGCAGGCCCTCAGTGAGCGGGACCAGACTCTGGCTCAGCTTCGGACCCATGTAGCAGACATGGAGGCCAAGTATGAAGAAATCTTACATGTAAGCACCACTCTCTGAAGCCAATCATCCCAGTACCCATCACTCCCCCATCACCATAAACCCCAACTAGTGTGACAATGACAGAGGAGAAGAAGCATCTCCAAAGGGAACTCTGCTCTATCTTGAGGGACAGACAGCCAGGGAATGAAACCATGCCCACCCACTAAGGATAAGGACTTTAAAGAAACACTGGTAAAGAGAGCTTACAGACCAACCTGGGGCACCCCTCACCCTTCACCCTTCCTGGGGCCTAAAGCTTAGTGTCTACAGGGCAGCCTGGACCAACTCTTGGCTAAGCTGAGGGCCATCAAGCCTCAGTGGGATGGGGCTGTGCTGAGACTCCACGCCAGGCACAAGGAGCAGCTCTGCCAGTTTGGACTGAACCCCCTGGATCTTTGAGGCTGTAAGCATATAGTCTCTGGGGCTCTCTGAGGCCCCAGCAATAAAGCTGTCTTGATGTAGAAGTCAATGGAAATTTGGGTTGTGGCTTTTTGGCAAAGATGAGTGCCTCTCATGAGAACATCTCAGTTCTGAGCTGACCCATTAGCCTGAAGGCTGAATGATAGAAGAGAAATTTGACGAGGTCTCAACTTTTCCTAGAAAAGTGGGTCCTGCCCTTTGGGCCTGGGGCCTTTTTGGTCCCTTCGAACTACTGCCTCCTACCCCCACCCACACAAATACAGGCAGCCAGATTTGTGGGAAAAGGCCATTTCTGTGATGGACCAACAGTGACCAGGCACCAGCCCCCACAGTCCTAAGGTGTAACTGGTCTCCAAACCCTTGTCAATACATCCCAGAGTCCTGGAGTCATGCCTCAGGCAAGTTCCAGATGGCTTCGATCCTAACCGGCCTATAGCTCACATAAAAAGGGAAAACTTTTTTCTCTATTCTACTACAATACTCTCAGTATTACTTTACTTCTGGCCACCAAATATGTAGGGGTTTTCCCCACACCTAGCAATTCTCCCACTCTTCTGTGGACACCAGCTTGGTGTCCTACAATTTAACTCAATTCTTACACTATCTACCTAGAGATTCCATAGGTTAAGGACTCAGTGCCACAATATACCAATCCCAAACCCAGGTTGTCACCTGTGCTTCTGACCAACTGGCTATAGATCAGAGGTTGCTCAGGTTCTATCATTTGCTAGAGCAGCTCACAGAACTCAGAGAAACAGTTTCCATACTGGATTACCAGTTTATTATAAAGGATACAACTCAGGAACAGCCAGATGGAAGAGATGCCTAGGGCAGGATATGCGCATGGAAGCTTCCACCCTCTCCAGGTGTGCCACCCTCCCAGCATCTCCACATGTTTGGCAACCTGGAAGTTCTCTGAACCTACTCCTTTTGGATTTTTATGGAGGCTTAATTATATAAGCATATTAATTAAACCATTGGTCATTAGTGATTAATTCAACCTCCAGCCCCTCTCCCCTCCCAGGAGGCCAGGGCGGGGTGGCGGGAGGGCTAAAAGTTCCAACCTTCTAAGCACATGGTTGGTTCCCCTGGCAACCAGCCCCGAATCCTTAGGTGCTTCCAAAAGTCACCTCACCAACAAAATTAGGTGTGGTTAAAGGAGCTTTTTACAAATAACAAAAGAACCCTTTATGACTCTTATTACTTATAAAATTCCAAGGGTTTTAGGGACTCTGTGCCAGGAATACGTATGAAGACCAAATATACACTTATTATAAAACACAAAAGTATACCACTCATCTCAGGCAGAATTTCATCCTTAGGCACAGCTCGCAAAGCTCCCACATGGCTTCCTCTGAAGTCAGAGGGGAGGCTTCCTATTGGGCCCACCTGAGGCCTCTGACCATACCCTCTTCTGAGAGTTAGGCCCAATGAAAGGAAGGGAAAAGGGAGACCCTGGGCAAGCCTGTGATTGATTGTCCAGAGTCCTAGAGGTCCAGTTTCTGGCTTAAAGAGAGCGGATCAGCTCCTACCACCTCAGGCTGGAGAGTGAAGACAGGAAAGCCAATGGGTAGGTCTGTGCCAAGGAGAGGAGTGCTACAGCAGATCTGAAGCTAGAGCACAGTCCTAAGCAGAGAGAGAAAGGAGAAAGTCATTCAAGGACTAGAAGAGTTCCTTTTCCCTACCCCCACCTGCACTGGAACGCCCGGGAATGGAACTTGTTCCATGGGTCCTTCTGTCCCCATCTACTATGGCTAAAGTCCCAACCAGCGTGCCCCACCATGCTTCACCCTGCAGCCCTCCTGCTCTGCCCACCTCTCTGGTTTCCTTCTGCCCTACTCTGGCTGCTCACAGTCCCTCTGTCTCTTTCTCACCTCTCCAGCCCCTGGGGGAATCCAAGCTTCTAAGTCCTGTGGAGACCTGGTCGCCAGCTTCAGGCACAGGGGTGGCTCAGCCTCAGACAGTTGCTGAAGCCTCTCCAGGTCATTCTCTCCACCCACAGAATACCCGTTCACCTCCAGAATCACATCTCCCTTTTGCAGCCCTGCCCGGGCAGCTGAGCCTCCTAGGGTCACCTGGTAGCATCAGGGGTGGGAGGAGGGGTGTGGAAAGGTTGGATACAGAACATAGAACACCATGGAAAAGTTTTCTGGTTGCTCTAAGGCTCTGTGAGAGAAGCAGAGGAAGACTCATCAGGAGGCAAATATTGATAGGATCCATGGCCCATGGGGCATCAGTCACCTGGGAGATGAAGACACATCGCCCACTGGCCACACAGCTGAGTTGGAAGCCATAGCCACCACCAGGCCCGGGGTAAAGAAAGCACTGGCGGGAGCCACATGGGACAGGAGGCACAGCTGTATCTTCAACTGGAGGGTCCTTGGTCTCAACCAGAGAGGCTAAGCAGGTATCCTGGAGAGAGTGAGGAGCCTCTGTGTTCTCGAGGAAGAGGAGCGGGGACAAGCGAACCTGGAAGGAGGCAGATCAAACAAACCTGTTGCTTCTCCCTCCACCTGAGCCCTGCTCTATTCCTGCCCCCACCCTAACCCTTGTCCCTCAGTTCGCACCATGCTGAAGAAGCGGTCAGCCTCAGGGTCGACGACAGTGAGAGAGACATGGGAGCCCTGTGCCCGGATCCTGGAAACTGTCTCCTCATGGCCCAGCCCTTCCACACTCTCCCCAGCCACAGCCACCAGCCGGTCTCCAGCCTTCATCCCGGCCCTCTCAGCTGGCAGTCCTGGGTCCACCTCCCACAGAAACTGCCCTGGGACATAGACATCCTCACTGCTCCTCCCCCACTTACCCCCAGTGCCAGCCCAGGCCATCATGTGCACACTGGGGGACTAACCAGGGGGTACACAGGGGAAGGTGACCCAGGGCTGAGGCTCAGACAAGGACACCACTCATGTGCACTGAGAAGTGTATGTGTATACACACACACATATATACAGTTACATGCCCACTCCAGGGCCCACCTTCCCTTCCCATCCCCAGGGCTCCCACTCACCAAGGTGACCTCCAAGGCCCTTCTCTTCCCGGAGCAGGAACCCGAAGCCCTGGGGTCCTTTCTCTAGGTGCAGACAGCGGGGCTTGGTGGGAAGTGCCCAGCCCTCTGCCAGGGGTGCAGCCAGAGGCATTCCCAGCTGGCGACACCGTTCCTCCACCTCTGGCCCTGCCACAAGCAGGGTTACCTGCTCTCCACTCTGCCAAAGCTGTGGAGACCCACCAGGGCCTCAGCGTCAACTACCTGGGAGGGCAGAGGCGGGCACCTCCTCACAGCCCCTCTTTCCAGGCCTAGGAATGAGGCATTAAAGGTAGGGGAGAGAAGGGCCTAGCACAAACTGTAAAGGAAAGGATGGTGATGGAGGTACAAGTTCAGATCAGGGCATTAGGTGTTTGGTGGAGGAGTCTGCTTCCTGAGGCAGGGGCCCCAGGCCCAGAAGGGTAGAGGAGGAATGGGGAAGCAGGCAGCC